TGTTTCTCCATTTCTGATCCAGGGAAACACAATATTCTACCCTTTCAATATTTCCCAATATATTTCATTTCTCTAGCAGAAGGTCAAATATAGTATTGAAATGGGGAAGGAGATTCATATTTACAAGAGCCACAGTGACGCAGTGGTTAGAGTGCAGTACTGCAGGCTACTTCTGTTAACTGTGGTCTGCCTGCAGTTTTACAGTTTTAATCCCATCAGGCTCAAGGTTGACTGAGCCTTCCATCCTTCCAAAGTCAGTAAAATGGGGATCCAGACGATTGGGAGCAATATGCTGATTCTGTAAACTTCTTACAGACGGCTATTACAGTAAAGCTATATATAAATTTAAATCAGTGATGGGTTCTGGATCCCATTGCAACTGGTACGGTGCAACGGGGCCTGGTATCCACCACATGAACGTGTGCAGTACTTACTGCCTGCGACGCTCCGCAACGCCTCTGTGATGCTCCAGCTACTTGGCGGAGCTTCGTGCAGGCACCGTACACTCCGTACACGGAAGCCCTGAAGAGTTCAAATACCGGTAAGGAATGCGGATCAGCGGGTGGGCCCTCCACAGCACCATATCGGAACGGTACCTGGTGCGCCTGATAGGAACTGGGTTCACCACTGGTCTAAATGCTATTGCTATTGCTCCTGCAGCAATAATAGTCATCCCACCCCATTCAATACCATTCCACACTCCAGACATGCAGTCCAGAAGTAAGGCTTGTGAATCCACGGTGGTCCTTTACCAAGCATCTCTTCCTTTTTGCCATTTCCGCACTTAGTAACCTGCAAAGCTTTCTAGTAAATGTTTTAGTGTATAAAGAAGTCTGAATTAAAGAGAACCCTGGATCTTGGTGCTCTGAGTTAATGGAGATGTCTTTTTGCTAAATGTCAGCTTTGGATGGTTTCAGCCTTTGCAGAGACATGACACAAACCTTCCAGACAACTACTTAACTGTGCAGGACCAATTAGAGGTATGCAATGGCCTTTGTATTGGCCTGTTTGTGGTTCACTGTAACATATTATCTGTTCCTTGGCCTGTCTGTGCAAAGTGGGAGCTAGCAAGAAAAAAGGAGCTTCTAAATGAACAGTTTCAAGGAAGAAATTTTTTGACTCATAATAATCTTCATTAAAGGATGAGATACCTTTTTTTAACTTGCCATTGTCCTAATGACCATACTCCATTAAATGCATTTCTTTTCATTTTAATTAGTTGGTATATATACACGCCTGCACAAATACACCCAGAGACACAACTGTGTCAAACAAAAGAAATAGATCCATCAGCATCTGGAGACCGAGTTCAAAGGAGGCAAGGGGCCAGTCCAGGCAAAATCAAAGGGGCTTTATATACTAATATAGTTCATTTTTATTTCCATTTTTCTTATTGTTAACACAGATAAATGTTGTTATAAAAGGTTAAGATGTTGAACATTAATTCTCCTCTCTGGAAATTTCTTTAATTCTTCTTTTCTATTTATCTAATTCAAAATAGCTTATGTTTTTTCTTGACTCTTCTTTTTGAGCTCACTCTTAGGCTGTATAAAATAACCTCTTATAAAAATTTTACAGCTAATCCTCAACTTAGAATCATTCATTTGGAAGTTACAATGGCACAGGAAAAAAAAGTGCCTTATGACTGTTTTTCACACTTACAACCATTGCAGAATCCCCATGGTTCTCTGATCAAAATTTGGGCACTTGGCAACTGGCATGTACTGTATTTATGACAGTTGCACTGTCCCGACTAAACTTCTTGCATCAGTTGCAGAAATGTGATATTCTTGTGGGTGATTGCTTCTTTCCTGGCATATTTCAAATACTAATGTTTTTGTGTTTAGTATCATCTGATTTTAAAGAACAGAAAATGAAACTACCAATCTTTGTAAGGAACAAAGAAGTTTATGTAATTTCAAAATGCAATGGGTTGATTTAGTTTCTATGAATTGCTTAATTCATTTTCAAAAGTCATACTGAAAGTTACAGAGCTACCACTGATCCTGTGAAATTTTCATTTCATAAGTGCACAGACATAAATATATCAATATTAAGATTTTTCCATTTGTATTTCAGTTTTAGATGGAGACAACACAGATTCATCCCCAACAGCTGCATCTATCTTCAATAGTGAACGGACATAAGGGTAGAAAACAACCTGCACAAAACACAGCTCCACAACACAGTCCTTTCAGGAGTTCCAAGAAGGTTCCAAACTCCTTTACACTACATCATTTGTCGGCTGTGACCAGAGGGACCTTTGCCCAGGTTCGCCTGGTGCACCAATTGCGACCCTACCTGGACCGGGAGGCCCTTCGGATAGTCAATCACGCCCTTGTCACCTCAAGACTGGATTACTGTAATGTGTTCTACATGTGGCTGCCCTTGAAGAGCGTTCGAAGACTTCAGTTAGTCCAGAATGCAGCCGCGTGAGCGATTGTGGGTGCACCTCGGGACACCCACGTTACACCTATCCTCCGCGAGCTGCACTGGCTTCCCATTGGTCTCTGGACACGCTTCAAGGTGCTAGTCATTACTTTTAAAGCCCTGCATGGCATCGGACCTGGGTACCTGAGAGACCGCCTGCTGCCAATTACCTCCCAAAGACCGATACGATCACACAGACTTGGCCTTCTCCGGATTCCATCTGCCAGCCAATGGCAGCTGGCGACCCCCTGGGGGAGGGCCTTCTCTGTTGCAGCTCCGGCCCTCTGGAACGACCTCCCCGTTGAGATCCGGACCCTTACTNAATAGAGCTCACTTTTTATTTATTTAGTTTGTTAAGTTTGTCACTCATGTACAAGATAACAGGAATGAGAATAAACATGAATAAAAACACAGGGAATGGGTGCAAATAAATGGGGACAGTAGGACAGGGACGTTAGGCATGCTGGCGCACTTATGCACGCCGTATTTTGTCATAGAAATTTGTTGTGGGAACCGGTTTGGGTTCCAAATCTGAACTAGAAGCATGGGATTGCGGTTTTACACAGCCGTAAAAATGTTTTGTCTTTCGACAGAATTCCCAAGTCAAGTCCCAGTTCTACCCAACCGATTTGAAAAATCAGAACATGCACATTAGCGATGCACACGACTCAACACGCTACTTTGCTAGCAACCTCCTTAACCATTGAGGAAGCTAGCAAAATTCCATTTGCGCAGAATCCGTACCCAATATTCAGATTGCCCCCAAAGATCTCTGGACAAAATGGGATTTTCTTTCTGAATAACTGTGGCATTATCCATGTGAAAGTAAAAGGCCTTTATCCCAAAAGGCAATACTTTGCTTCTTTAGCTGTGAAGAACGGAAGAAGCTTCTTGGATAAGAAACAATGTTTACAAGGAAAAATAGGCAAACAAGCAATTCCAGTTGCCTTTTTAAAAAAAGCACCCTTGGGACAACCATGATTTGGATGATTGAGGATCTCCATAGACAGGTAACCATTTTTGTTACCTGTCTTTGTTATAGGACTTGGTTGCAGCTGCCTATTTCTATCATGTATCTTTTTCTTTCCGACTCTACGCATTTGCACACAATCTTGTCACCTGCACCACTATCTCTTACCTTGGCTGAGTCTTTAAAGACTATTCAATCATGTTGCATAAAACTGTCTATGTTGTGTGTGTGTGTGTGTGTACATGCCCAAAGAGATGCGCTGCCTCGTTAGCTATGCAGCTTAATTTTCCTGAAATGTATGACAGCAACGCATTAATTACAAAATGTAGAAATTATAATATGTTAAGGACTTATATCTCATCTCACAGAAGCATTGAAGTGGGATGATAAGGGAACGAGGGAGCTGGAAGCTTTGCCTTTTCTTCTATGTAATTGGGAACAGAAAACGATATTAGTAGACTTATCACATCCAATTCGCAATCAACTACATTCAGTGTTCCCATTGCAGAGAATGTGTTGCTTTTTATGTGGCTTCTGAGATATCAAACAAAATAAAAACAAACTAGATGGCTGGTCTATAAAAAAAACAACAACATCAAACTGCTATCACAAACACATATTCGTACCCCCAAAAGGCAAGTGTTTACAATGCAGAATTCAAAAAAAAAAGAAAACTCTTTGAAAACAAGAAGTAGAGATTCTAAATAGAGGCATATCAATATAGGGAAAAATAAAATCACCAACCTGGTTTGTGGTCGAGCGAAGCAAAATTATTATCTGAAATCTGAAACCACGTTTTGATCAACTCTGGGAAAACTTAGGATAGCGAAGGATGCATGTCAATAAACGTCTCCCAACGGTGAATGATTGGTCCTTCCCCCCCAAAAAATTCCTTTTTTAAAAAAAACTGAAGACAAAACTAAATAAATGCTTTTTAATGAATAACAAGTCCGTTTTGCATCTCTGTCATGGTATGTTCGCTGATCAAAAGGTGAATCAGAAATGGGCTGCAAATCTGAAAAATAAAAAATCTCTTTCCGAAAACTTTAAAAACTTTCCAGATGCAGAAAAGAGATGTCAAGGTTGAAAGAACTAAGAATGAGACTGTTTTGACCAGAATCACTTTTCACTTAGGGGCCAAAAAAAAAAAAAAAAAGTAGAGAAAAAGAAAGTATCCCTTCCTTTGTACTTACTGAGGGAGGGTCTATATAGTGTTACCAAATTAGCATTAAAGAGCATAGGAACTGAACTTGCGGAGGAATGAAGGAGCCAAAAGAACGTTTTCCAAGTTTATAGGATACCCAAATCGATGTGTAGGAAGGAATTCGTGTGGATTTAGAATTTTCAAAGATTTCTTGCTTTTGGTTTTGAAGAAAATCAAAAAGAAAATCATTTCAGGTCTGTGAATGTTTCAGGAAACGGCACCAGCTGACTTCAACAGCCAGAGGTTGAGACTCTTTCTGGACAGGTTCTGAAGTTTTCCCAGAGCACAGCCACAAGCAGAGATGAGAAATTAAAATTGAATCCAGCAAGATCGATGCTAGTTTTATGGCTTAGATATGAAATAAGTAAATAAAGTAGCTTCACACATTTTTTTTTTTTACAAAACTTAAAGTTTATTGATATCATTCAATTGACTGCCTTATATTTGGAGCAAGTTCTTGAACACTGAAATACAATGCTTGTTTCTTGGAAAAGAGATATTAACTTCCTTCCACAAAAGTACATGAATCTGAGTACAAACAAAAGGGAAACTGTAGAGGATTTGTTTTTATTTTATTTAACCATCCTGTCAGATATGTTTCCAGGTAAATAGATCCAGAAAAATCTTCAGGCCCCATGTATCTCGAATAAGGGTTGACATGCATTGCTCTTTCAAATGACTAAAGCCAAGGATCCTGGCCAGATGTTAGATTTGGAAGTGACCTAAGCGGTGAACATGAGCCTTCTCTTCCTCACTGTTTTGCTCTGTGCCAGCAAAAGAGTAAAACGGGAGTAGATTATTCAGAAGAAGATACTCCCTCATGGTAATCCTACATAGAGGTCACGCTATTACTTACGTTCAATTGCCTTGCTCCATTGGTGTAACCAACCCCACAGAGAGTTTTCTACCAAAAACCAGCTCTAGAATTCAATGATACTTTTTTCCAAGTTGCAGCCTATGTCCCTACTCCAAATCTACATCAGGGTGCAGCCAGATGTAGCTGCAGCTCCCTCTACGAAGTACGCTCTTGCCTAGCCTTCAGTACAAATTACGTTTCCTTATGAAACAGCATCTTAATCAGATCCAGGTTCACTATCTCTCCACAACCTCAAGCATAGCTGGCTGGGGAATTCTGGGAGTTGAAGTCCACAGTCTTAAAGCGGGCAATGGTTGAGAAATACTGGTTTATGGAATTCAGCAGAGCGAAGATTGCCTGTGTTGTTAATCAGTTTCAACTCAAGCTGTAGGGGAGGGGGGAAGGCTCAGAATATGAAAATGGGGGTGCAAGCTATGTCATTTTTTCAGAACCAAAACCACTGAAACATACAGCTGCGTTACAGTCTGAAACCCTGGAGATTGCTAATGAGTAAATATGCTATGGGGATCTACTGCAAATGCCTTTAACTTCAACGGATCCCTTATATACACAGCTTTCTCTGGGACTCCGACAGAAAGTTCAAAAGCCAAAGCAAGGGTAGAGATTTTGGAGTCTAGGCCTATATCACTTTGCTTGGTTATTATTTTAATTTCTCCAATCATGCTTTCATTTCTCCAATCTCCACTCATGCTGGGGGGTCTCACCAGAACACACACAGACACACACACCCCACCCATTCTTCACCCCACCATTCCATGTCAGAAAGGAGGTGTGTGTGTGTGGGGGGGGGATCACAAGTTTCTCTCTCAACTTAATCACAGAAGCAGAATTAGCTACGAATTTCCTATTTTGCATAATGTGAAGGCTAAACTGAGGTCTAACATGCACAGAACTTACTCACCTGCAGTAATGCCAACCAAGATACTGTGGTTTTTTTTTTTTTTTTGCTCAATACTACACGCAACTGCCAGGCCCAGATATGAGCCGGGAATCACTTGCTATGGCTTGCTACCCAGCGGTAACAGCCCCCTGAGTTCCAAAGCTAATACTTCCCAGTTCCCCAGGGTTTTTTTCCCCCAGTACATTAAAAATGGTGGATAATTACACTATTTTCTAATGCAATGAAATCTACAGATTAACTGGACTGCGGAAAGGAGGACTTTCTGACATCACCCCACTTATCTTTTAAAAGGCTCACATTTCGTAAATAGGGGTCTTTGGGGAAATATAAACTTCTTCCAGTGACCAGAACACTGCTCCCCCTCACCCAAAAAAACCTCAAGGGTTTCCCCAGTAGAATCGCCATTTTGTACAATTGGGATTCACCGCCCAACTGGGAACTTGATGGTGCTGTTCAGAATATAACTTCAGATGAAGTCAATCTTCTTGCTCTTTTTTATCCAGATTTTTGGACGTAGAGGAGTTCAGGGCCCAGTCAGCCAGGCGATACAAATGGTCTCTACAGTAATTAGTATCCTGGCTTCTTAACTACCTGAAGAGGAAGCTTCTAGCACAGGGTGACCAACCTTAGCAACTTTTAAGATCTGTGGACTTCAACTCACAGAATTCCCTGGCCAACATGGCTGACAGGGAAATTCTGGGACTTGAAGTCCACAAGTTTTAATACTCGCTAAGGTTGGACACCCCTGCTCTAGCATAAAGAGGAGTTCACATGTTCAACAGCAAACAGCTGTGGCACCTGGCTTATGACGGTTCCCATCAGATGACTAGCCAAACATGAACTGAATGTTAAGATTGACATTTTAAGCAAAACTCCTCATGGTCAAAATCAGTTTTTAGTTGGAAACAATCACGTGTGACATTAGCACTGGATGAAAGCAGAGTTGAAAACTGGCCAAGTCTGATGCCGCATTTCCTTTTGGTGCACAGCATTTTGAAAAAGCACAAAGAGGGAACCAATCAGCGCTATGGGTTGAAGACAGAACATTGGAGGAGAACGTGGTGAATTGGATGCTGTTGGCAAACCAGGATGATCCACAGATTTCGCAGCTGAATCCAATGCAAAAAATGTAGCCAAACAGGACATGTGTACAGAATGCCATTATATTACTCTCCCTTTCATGCTGCTTTTAACCTCCTATAATGTACCTAATTAGAAGATTAAATATTTGATGTAGCTTGGCTGCTCCTAATGCTGACAGTTTTCGCCCATAGTTATGTGCCAATTCTATATAATTGCAGAAAGCTGACAGAATGTATTAGATGCAGACCTCAGCTTCCAAAGCATTTGTTTATGCATTTTCTTTAAAAACAAAAACGAGAATGGTTGAAGGGATAGGCCTGAAGGTTTGTCTTGCTGTAGCCTTTTCTCTCTCTATTATAGCTAGCAGAATGTCAACTTAAGCAAACACTCTTGAATTGCCTAAGTTATGCAACCTGCAGATTTAAATAAATTAAATACAGCTTTTTTTCCCCAACTTACTGCTCTCCAGAAGTCTATAAGAGTCACAAGACAGGAATCATAAGGTTAAGGAAGTAGGTTTAGGATTTAAGACTAATTCTCTTTCAATAATACGCACAAAAATATGAATCTTCGGTGGAATTCCTTTGCTGTCTCTTTCCCCAACCTATTTCATCCTTCTTTCTAAGATAACCAACTGCATGGATAGTGAACAGTACTACCATGACATCAACATTGGAGTGGGGAGGAAGATAAGTAGTACTGTTCCAATGGATGTTCCATACATTTCAATGGCTGGCCCTTTGCGGCCAACCAGCCTTCCAACCCCTACTAGGGTATTTGATACAGTAGGACCACCGATAAAATAATAGTATATTATTACACAATTCTATCTTTCCATAAATCTTTATAATAAAATATCTTATTGACAAGAACATTCCCCATTAAAGCATGTGTAAACACACACACACACACACACACACAAATGCATCGATCATAAATAAAATGCTGATTTGGGTTGGCATCACCATGGTACCATAAGGGCATCTTGCTAAGTAAATGGAGAGGAAAGAACCTCAGCTTGCTATAGTTATAATAAAATCCAGAATATTACTATTCTGGAACGACGTCCAATAGTCATAATTTGATGGAGAACTGTGGCTTCACAAGAGATGGAGGTCAGAATGCTCTTCTCCCGAAGCCACCCCCCTCTCCTTAATGTACAGAGAGAGGGTGGTAAACGCTTTCTTTCCAATGAGAAAACAAAAGAACTTTCTTTTGCTTTCCAACAGTGCAGATACCAGGAAAGGAGGGGGGGGGTAACCCCCACACTCTGCAATTTATATAAGAAAGGAAACCCCCAAGAGGGAATAGCAGAATCAGGGGCTGAAAAAAATATATATCTTGCTTTCTGATCATAAAAGCTACCAACTCAGGTCAAAAGTGCACAGAGTAATAAGAATCAGCCAGCTTCACAGACACTTAAATGTACATGTGTAAAATGGACAGATTGGACGGCTTCCAGCTTGTCAAACTGACACGAGGAAGGAAGGGCAGCCCCTGCCTGATTTACAAAATAAACAAGCTTAATGCATTTCCAAGCAGAAGCGTACGAGAGGCTGAGCGCCTAGGAAAGCAGTGGCACGCATTTAATATGGTCTTCGCTGCAGTTGCTGTAATCAGAAGCGCACTGCACATCCATCCCGAGTTAAAATAGAAGAACTGCTTTGACGTGAAGAGAACAGAAGCTCATCTGACTGGAGCTGCACAAATCATGGACCGTATAAAGGGACAAGTCCAGAATAAGTGCATAAACTCGTGCATAAAAACGACCAACTTTGGGAGAACCAGGAATGGTTTTGCATGCTTCTGTGGGCTTAAAAAAAAATGGACAAAAAATGAACTTAAGCTGTATTGGATTTTGGTTTCCATCCAGGTATCGTGATACGAAGTTTGGAATTCAGGTTAAAACTAGCTGTGAAAGGTTTCTAGGAACCAGTATCTATCCCTCAGCTAATCCTGCCACAAGTTTATCCCGGGTGGTGAATTTATGGATGCAGGGAATGAGAGGAAGAAGCATTCAAGCCACCCAAAGCGTAATTCATAATAATAATAATAATAATAATAATCAACCAAACATATAGCAGCACTGGAAGGTATTTGTGATCTTTTAGCAAACTGTTGAATGAAAGGAATTTCCTTCAGCATCCAATCAGGCGATGACTTTTATCAAACAGACCCATCGGTTGTTCTGCTTAGCTGCCCGACTCACGTGCTGTATGTCAAAGTGCCACCCAGTTAACTTCTGATGTGCCCTGTGCAGAAATAATTTATCTATGCTACCTTGGAGAACTGGCAAGCCAGGAGGGTTATCTAAAGGAATGTGGTTTGTGTAGTGTGTCCTTATTACTGTGCTTTGGAAGCTGTAGGTGTGTGTATGTCTCTCTGTGTGCGTGAGAGAGACAGAGGGGCGGGGGGAGACAGTGTGCACACGCATGTTAAGCGCCTCTCAAGAGTGATCTCCTTCAGCTGTCTGAAATCCAGAATGCTGCTGGACAATCCCGCAGCCCCAACCCCCCACATGTCCTAAAGAACCTTTTCCTTCCAAAAAGAGCCCCCAGGAAGAAATGACAGACCACCCAGGTGAAGGGACAGCAGTGCAGCCGTTTGTAATTGGAGTCCAAGTGCCACGGGAACAAGAGCTGCACAGAATCTTTTTCACACGTACCTGACGCTTATGCGTGCCGAAGGCTGAATTCCCTGGCTTGAGTGGCTGTCATAACCTCCGAGTTTGAAGCCGGCCTGTTCACAAGTAAACTGAAGTAGCTGGGAGATACCAAAGGGAAAACAGCCCACCTGCTCGATGTCACGCCTCTGAGGAGCATCCTGTCTGTCCATCTGCGCTGAATGCCGGTGCTTTTCTCTCAACGGATCTGGACCTGCTAACCTGGGCTAGAAGTGGTGGCCGGACGCACTTCTGAAACACCACGTCTCAACCCCGTGAACCCAAATGAAACACCCCCCGTCAGAAAGTCCCTTGATGGTGTTTTACGTGGGGCCGAGCGCGCGCTCTGGAGCAAGAGAGGCTACTTGGCTTTGGAGTCCACGTAGATTTTGTCTCCATCCCGGATGCCGTAGGAATGCAGGGCCCTCGAGTTGTACTTCAGCTCCTCGGGGCCAAAAGGGTCTTCGTTATTGAAGTAGGTGACCAGCATGCTGCTGATGGGCAGCTGGACCAACGTTTTGAGTTCCTTCTTCAGCTCCGCCACCGTCTGGTCTAAGCGGATGTTCATCTCCTTCACTTGGTCTTTGAAGTGAACTTCGACTTTGGCGCTGCTCTGAGGGGTCAGGTCGATCTCCGCCAGTTTTTCCAGCTTCCCGTATTTTGTCACTAGTTCCTGGTACCTACGAAAACGGGGCAGAGAGACAACATGCAAAGGTTGCTCAATAGCCTGCTTTATTAAAACACATAAGGTTTTTTTTCTGGTGCTTTGTGCCAACCTTTCAAAGCCAACTAACAATATCCTGCATACCTGGGGGTGAACACCACAAACACAGAGAGAAACTCAACTCTTTTAAGACTTTTTAGCAAGCGGGAAGATCAATTCTGCTCTTTGCGGGCAGGACAAGCAAAGACCTAAAATGTTCTTTAAAGCAAACTTAAAGCAAAATTAACAGTCACGGGACTGAATGCACAACTTAGTTTCAGGTACAATGCAGAAAATGCAATGGTCAGCCATTCTGAACTAAAAAGGGCCCCACTGGAGATTAAAGAATGGATGGAGAGGTGGTTTACTTTAAGGATCCTGGAGTTTTTGAAGAAGTCAATATTGGAGATCCTAATCAGCTGGGACCGTCTCTAATTCTGGCCCATAATGGTTTGATTCAGGACACGGCGCCACCTGTATTTCCCCAGGCTTGAACAAGGTCATAGCTCAATCAGCTAATATTCTCCATCTCCAATGAAGGGAAAGTTGCGTAGACCACATACACAAACGTGTACACCACATATCTTCAGGGGCACCGCAGCTATTAATTCCAAAGCCTCACAATGTGCATGAACTACTGGCAGCCCTCAACTTACGACCACAATGGATCCCAAAGTTTATGTCGTTAAGTGAAAAGTTCGGCAAGTGAGCTTGCTCCATTTTACAACTTGTTTGACCTCCTTTGTTAAGCAAATCACCGCAGTTCTTAAATTAGTGCCCTCCGTTTGTTAAGTGACCCCCCCTTTGGCTTTGCTTGTCAGGTCACAAAAGGGGATCACACAACTGAGTCACTGCCACCGTCGTAAATGTGAGTCAGTTGTCAATCACCTGAATGTAAAATCACGTGACCATGGGGAGGCTGCAATGGTCACGTGAAAAATGGTCACCCCCTTTTTCAGTGCTGTTGTAACTC